CACTCCATTTTCTTCTTCTGCGTTGAGTGTGCTATGATATTTGATATACATATGCGTTGAGTGCGCTACTCTCGACCACGACCCGGTCCTAAAATTCATTGATGTGCCTCTTCTCCACTGTCTTCTTTATCTCTCGCTGAGCTCCACCGACATTGCCGCCTTCCATATGGCTCTGGTCTGCGCGGTCGTCTAGACTAACCTGGTGGATTTCGCCGAGCTATCTCCATCACACCCTGTTGATCACCTTCCCCACTAGCAACCTACGATGTGACCACCGCCTCGCCCCACGCTGCCCCCACACCTTCCATCACTGTCGGGTCAGCATTCTCCCCCAACAATCCTTCTAAGCCTGCCGAATTCAGGTAAGCCCACAAAACCCCAAACCTGAACCCTAACCTTGCCAGAGTTGGAGAAGAAGACCACGTGCCATTCTTGGGTTTGGGCAAAAGAATTCGAGGGAGGGGAGGCCTTTCACTAGTGATATTTAACTTTACTCAGTATAGTTGTTAGATATATAAATCGCGACACATAAGTAGAAATTAGTACTCCCTCTGTCCACAAAAGAATGCAATTCTTGCTTTTCGAGAAGTCAAACAGTTTGAACTTTAACTAAATTTATATAAAAAAAGTGCAAACATTTATGATACAAAGTAAGTACCATTAGATTAGTTATAGAATATATTTTTATAATAAATTTATTTGGAGACATAAATGCTAATAATATTTGCTATAAATTTGGTCAAACTTGAGTTTTTTTTTACCAGCACACATCCCATAATTGCACTCTTTTGCGGACGGAGGTACTAATAAAAGTTTCATATTGTTGTTTTTCATTTCACGAAAATGCCATGGGACGTTTTCATTAATAGGGGGTCGAAATTTATGATTCAAGACATCACTTATTTTATGACCAAAGAATTTTATATGAATAATCATTTTATGATGCTTACTTTGTACGGAAAACTCCACTTTCAACTTTAAAATAAACATTTTTTCTATGATATGTGCAAATACAAATAAACGAAGATACAAATCTTTGAGTGAGCACATCATGATATATACAAATACAAATAACTAAACATAAAAAATCTTTAAAATAAACAAGGTTTTTTGTGACCAGGCGAGTGGTGGACTTTTGACCGATATTATATATCGATATCTGTATCTATCAATCAAGAATAATGAGATGATGATGGCTTACCACGATTGCCACGCGGTGATACGTTCGCAAATAATAAGCCCGTGAACCACTGAGCCCCACCTCACCATGTAAGCCATGTGGTATTTATTAAAATGAAAAAGAATAAATATCGGACGCACGAACGGGACCCTCCCCAGATTTGGCCCAACAACAAAACTCCCCGAGGCCCTGAAACCCCCCGTGCCGTGCCGTGCCGCTAGCCACCCGCCGCCATCTCCCCTCGTTTCCGCTTGGGCCGCGCCTTCTCCTTCACTGTCGGTTGTTGTTGCGTTGCGTTGCGCAACGGCGCCACCCGCCCATCGCTGACGTGAGCAGTTCGGCCTGGAGGAGGCCATTCACGGTAAAAGCAGGCACGACGTACTGCTCCAGTTCTTTTTTTTTTCTTTTTCATTCAGAGCACTATGCTTGGTGCAGCTATAAGAGCGTCATGTTATCCCTTGATCTTTTTTTTAAGCCATGCGTTGATCACACTGAGAATTGCGATGATCCATGTCTGCATGGTTTTCTTTCGCAAAAAAGCCTGTGTCAAAATTGGTTATTCACAAGGAAAAAGTCTACTTTACCTCCCTCAACTATCGCAAAAGTCAGATTTTCCTCACTAAACTAGAAAACCTGACATAACTCCTCTCCCATTTTTTCAAACCGGACATATAACCTTCTCTAGGTGGTTTTTCTCCTTTTCTTTTTATATTTGTTTCAGCTGAATCTTTAAAAAATCATAGTAAATTACAAAAATCATTAAATAGAAAATCTAATTTTTTTTACTCCACGTGAGTAGATTTACACATTAAACATATGATATGGTATGCTTTAGTATAAATTTTTTGCTCTAGCTTTAGATCTATACTTTTCTGTGATTAATTCATAGCTTTAGTTTTTGTTGTCCTATTGTGCTGAATTTTTTTTGTGGACTAATCATTGTATGTTTGAGATGAAGTAAAAATTTCATGATCATTGGATCACGTATGACTGAGTTATAGATTTATTCAGGTTTATGTTTATTAAATAGTTTAAAAATAGTTGAGAGTGTGTAAAAATTGAAAATATGTGTTCTCTATGTAATGTAATATTTCTATTGTTATATCGTATGAACACTTAACATAATCATGTTGTCACAGAGAAAATTACACAGAGAACATATATTTTCTATTCTTACACATTTTTAATTATTTTAAACTATTTAATAAGCATAAACCTGAATAAGCCTGTAACTCAGTCATACATGATTCAACGAGCATGAAATTTTTATTATATCTCAAGCATACAATGATTAGTCCACCATAAAAATTTCATCACAATAGGAAAAAAAAACTGCAGCTATGAATTTTGTACTAAAGCGTACCATTTCATATTTTTATTGTGTAGATCTACTCATTTGAAGTCCAACAAAATTAGATTCTTTATTTTATGATTTTTCTGTAATTTACTATGATTTTTTAAAGATTCAACTAAAATAAATATAAAAGAAAGAGAAACAACCACCTAGAGAACCAACAGGATGGAGGAGTTACGTCCGGTTTTCTAATTCACGAAGGAAAAGCTGACTTTTACGACGAGGCAAAGTAGATTGTTTTCCTATTTTCAAACCTAAGCCTGTCCCTAACACAGCTAGCTGCTGCTGCTGCTTTTTTTTTTTAGGGAGGCGGAGCTGGCTTGCTGACGCGTTTGTTTTCTCTGAGCCAGTTGGGCCTTGCTCCCGGCCCAGGTACGAGCCAGGCTGCGAAGTGCGAACTGCGAAGAGAGAATCACGCAAAACAACCACGTCTTGTAAGTTATGGCCTCATTTAGACTGGGGCTAGGTATCAGTATTTGGCACTGTAGTATTTTCGTTTGTATTTGATAATTATTCTCCAATCATGGCCTCACTAGACTCAAAAGATTCGTCTCGTAATTTACAATAATTAGTTATTTTTTTATCTATATTTAATATTTCATGCATGTGTCAAAAATTTAATGTGATGGAGAGAGAGTGAAAAAACTTGCGATCTAAGGACTGTATGTTTGTGGATTGGAAAAAAGAGGAGACGAATAAAACCCCCAATTCCTCTCAAATCCCAACCGCCGCGCTTCCAGTCGTCGCACGGCTCGCACCCGATTGACACGGGTCTCGGGCCTCGGGCCTCGGCGCCGCCTCTCCGTCGACAGCCGGCGACCCAGGTACTGCTTCAGACTTTGGATTGATTTGGATGGCGCGGGGTGGCAGTACGTGGCGGAGCGTGAAGTAACACGTAGAGGGGGCCAATTTGTATGAACTAGCGACCATCTCAAAAGTAATAACATATCTTGATTGACAACAAATTACTTGGGAGCAAAAATAGAAGGAAGAAGAGAAGCCGTATCTGGCTATCTGCATGCATGCAGCAGATGCAGAGGCGAGAGCACGGGGCCGCGGAGGCTGGACTGCCTGAGTATGGAAGCGCGGACTCGCCGCAGAGGCTAGAGAGAACTGAGAGCGCGCGCGTGGCAGCCATGCATCAACTATTGAAGTAGCAACACACGTATGGTAATTTGTATGCTCAACTGTGATCTTCAGAAAACTGGCCGTGGCAAGGCGGGGCCGGAGCCCTCTATGGCCCTAACGACGCTCCGCCAATGGGGGTGGGGAAGCCGCGGCGCGGTCGTGCTGATTCGTCGAACCACGGAGGGCTAGGGTTTTTGCCGCGCAGTGGCAGGAGTTAGAGGCAGCCGGAGGAGGGCTGGAGGGGTGACGCTGGGTTCGGGAATTCGACGGATTTAGGGGGGCACGTGCGCTGCCGACCTCGTCAGTCGTCAGCCGGCGAGAGCATGGGGAACGGCCTCGGCAGCGCCCGCTTGCTGCCGACCGTGGGGGCGGGCGGCCCCAATCGAATTGGGGGCAGTAGCTCAGGGCAGCGCACGCCAGATTGAACGCGGCATTGCCGTCTGCTGAAACTAATCTTCAGTTTGGCTTGCTGGTTCAGTCCAACCAGACCATTGCCTTGACCATTTGGCTAAAGTTATAACAAAATTTTTGTTGGAGCACTAAGTCCATTTACGCCATAAACTGAGAACCACATGTGTTGTTCAGTGGTTCCCCCAAGCTGATGATGAGTTCAGGATTTTTTTTTAACTACCATCTTCTTAGGGTGTTTTTGGTTTTGGGATGGGTAGGATGGATTGGGTCCAATCACAGTTTTCAGGGTTCGAGTGATCCCATGTATGCGTTTGGTTGTGGGGATGGAGTCGTTCCAGTTTCGTGTTTGGTAGGCGGGGCGAACAAGGATTCTGAAAAGTAGATGGAATTCGACAGATTTTTGGGCACGTCCTGCCGAGCTCATTGTCCGGCGAGAGCATGGAGAAAGCCTCGGCAGCGCCACTTGCTGCCAACCGTGAGGGTGGCCCCAGTCAAATTGGGGCCAATAGCTCAGGGCAGGGCGCGCCAGGTTGAACGCGGCATTGCCGTCTGCTGAAACTAATCGTCAGTTTCGATTGCACACACAGCATTGCTGTCTGCTGAAACTAATCTTCAATTTGGCTTGCTGCGTCATTCCAATGTAGGAGTAGCAACCAATAGCGCGATTGAGCATGCACCTGGCACGGTGCCACAGCCCTTTGTCGAAAGTAATTTTCATTTTTTGTTTGCTGCATCAGTCTAATGTTAATGTACTAGCAAGCAATAGCCAATGTTCGCCATGTTCGCTTGAGTTTATTTAGCACTACTTTTCAGCTATGGAACAGTGTTTTCCTCTCACAACATTTCAGCATAAGCATAAGCCAAATTTCAGCATAAGCGGTATGCTTGCTGACACAATTGCTTGGTTTTAGGTTTGCGCAGTTGGCAATGAAGACCAATAGTCATGAGACAAACATGAAACATGAGGTAAATAAAGAAAAACTATAGTCTGCATTGTTTGGATAACAAGTTAGTGTTTAATCTGACATTATTGTTTGGGTAGTAAGTTAGTGTTTAATCTTACATTACTGTATTGTGCAGGTGAAGGTTGTTGCTGATCAGAGGATAAAGCACTACAAGGTCATCTGTTTTCTTGGTGTAGCTTTGATTACATGGATTGACAAGGCAGTACTTCTCAACCGATTGAATGAGTACAACAATGTAGCTGCCCAAGTCTGCATAATCTACTTCACAGTAGCTTTAGTTTCCATGTTGCTGGGGTTGACTGCGTCTTCGTTTCCCGATTCTGCTCTCTGTGCTAAGACAGTTTCGAGCAATGGAGCTCTGCAGGCCTTTTTGTTTTTAAACGCAGTTGTGCACTTGCACAATATAGACTTATATTCGAAAGTTCGGCACCTAGGAGTCTCATGGATGCTCACATCCTTGGTCTTTTGCATCTACTGGGTAATGTAAGCTTTAAAGGTATCTTAGCTTTATGCCATTTGGTTACAAAACTGTATGGAGCTAAAGAGTTTTGTGGAATGGTTTGCTATTGTAATGTTAGTTTTGAAGGTATCTTAGCTGTATGCCATTTGATCGCAAAACTGTATGGAGTTAAAGAGTTTTGTGGAATGGTTTGCTGTTGCGATGCCTTTGTAAATCGCAATCGTAGAAGAAATTAAATGACTCATGATGATCAGTTATGCATTGTATTGTTCATGCATTTCCCAAGTGCTGCATTACGACTGAACCTATGGCCCATTTGGTGCTTGTGCTATGTAGTGACACAAGGTATGTTGTATCAGACATAATTCAGCAAAGACGCAGATCAATAATCTATTAAAGGCTTTTTTTTTTTTGCTAGGAATCAATCCAGCTCATCAAAGGTTATACAAATTAGACAAGCAATCCAGTTAGAATTAGTTCCAGGCCACCAATCCCAAGGAACCGAACAGGGCCTAAGTGAATTTGAGAATTTAACAAAGTTTGCAGATCACAGCAGACGTCAACTCCAGGAGAAACTACTCTTTCTGAAAGCTGAACATGTGTACTCTATGATTTAGTTTCTTTCCTCGTGATTATAGCAAGAGTACAGATCATACAGACAGAAACCAAAACTCTGGCTACAAATCCAACAAACACCTTTACTTGAACATTGCGTATCTATCGCTGTAGAGGAGCTAAATGCTCAGTAGGCCACACATTACAACTCCTTAAGATTTATTGCAGTGGTACTGGTACATTTACATTGTCAACTGTGAGTGGTGCCTGGCTTTTAAAAGATTCTAATCTTATGGCAATAGCTGGACAGCTGCGATTTTAGGGATCTTCTCACGGAGCTTCTGAGTCAACGCTACTCGGACAGTCATCACACCAGCAGCTGGGCCTGTAAGCCTAACCTTGACAATAGGCTCCTCGATTGTGACAAACTCGAGCTCGCCACCTCCTGTGCCAGCAAGGTATGGCCTAATCTCGTCAAGTACCTGATATAGGAGAAAACATGTAATTGATGTTCAGTTTCTATCTCAATGCCCTTAAAAAATTACTGATCCATGAGAGGAATGGAAATTATACATCTTCAAGGCTAGTTTTCAAAGTAAGAAAAAGCATAAGAGCGATAGCAGTAGTCTCATTTGCTTGTTGGTCACCATATCTTCTTTATTGCTTTGATCTTACATATATGAAGTATAAACTTGGAAAATTACAAAACTTATATCAGCAGACAGAATTTCCTATCAACGATAGCATGATTAACATCACTTCCTGTATCAGTCGAACAGGGTTGCACGGTGCACCGCTGTAGCACAGGTGACAGCTGAAAGGATGTTACCTCACATACTGAACAATTCATAAGGATGCAAAAGCTAAATTGTTAGCCATAACATAAATGTATCAGTGGGGTAAAAAAGCTAGTTGTTATGACTTATGATACAAGGACAAGCTCTAAGTTCATACAATGGAAATCAGCCAAAGAACCAGAGCTTCCACCAGACAAATAATCAGAAAAATGACGCTGAATGAGTGCAACTACACTGAAAAGTCCTGACCTGCTCCTCCGAACAAAAAACTGAAGTAAAGCATTCCACCATTGCAATACACTTTCCACAATATATCTAATAGTTAAAGATGAAAAATTCAAGCCTACAAACTGCACAGAAGATGGATTTTAAATGTAAAATAACTGATAATAACATCATTATGCAGTCACAGCACTGTAGAAATAAATAAGCACAACTCATCAGAAAACTCTGAAATTCATTTACAAAGTATACTACATGTTTCAGAAGAATTTGATCTTATTCAAGGAAAATTCATTCCAATTAGTCAACATCCAACAAAATAAATCCTGGTTTACTTCAGTATTCCATAAGAATCAAGTGATCTTTACTAATGGAAATATTTGGCCAACAATAGAACATTTACCTTTTCAATGTTCTCTTGGTTCAACTCAAGGCCTGTCTCCTCATCAGCGATGGGCTCAACCGCAACAATCTCTGGTATTTGCTCCATCAAGCGCCGTTCAATACCCATCTTCATCGTTGTTACTGAAGCCGGGCACGACCCACATGCTCCTTGCAGCTTTAACCTTACCACGTTCCCGTCAATCTCATGCAACGCAACATTGCCTCCGTCTGCCATAAGATACGGCCTTACTTCATCCAACACCATCTCAACATTTTCAGCAGTCAGTGGCAGCTCGATCGCAGGGTCTGGATTGGCAACAGCTTGAACCACTGCCAGAGCAGGACACAGTTAGAGTTGCAGTTACTTGAATAGTTACATCTCAATAAATTAAGACAGAAAATACAAGCAAATAGTCTGAATTGTGGAATGCCCTGATACCTAACCTTAATCACTGTAGGAGATGCTCCAGCTCGTACCAAAACAGTTAACTTTCTACTCCTATATGCTTAGATGATAATCATAACACAGCATGGACAATAGGAAACTATGCTCCCAAGACAGAAGGCATCATATAGTCCTACAGAACTGGATAGTGGCAAGGTGTACTTCATCGTTTTGTTAATGTTGCCAGCTAGTCACTGCATAATTACAAAGCATACCACATACGACATACCATCTACATTTTAACACCATGTGTCACTATATCGAAAGATTGATCATCTTGGAACGCAATCCTTAACCAAGAACCTAAGCAAGCAAGCACTATGTGGCAATAGATAGCTGGCTTTCACTCCTAACACCTGAACGTTGGGTTTATAACAACACAGTTTGCGGGTGCAAAATTCTTCCTTTTTAGCAGATGATGCGGCAGTACGTTTACAGGATTAAACCATCAAAGTTCCACAACATGCGGCAAGATAATCCTTCCTCTACAAAATACCCCACCAATCCTTGAGACAGCTCCATACACTACCAATCCAATCCATACAGTAAGGTAAGCTTGAGAGAGTTTTCTACCGATCCATGAAATCCCTAACAAAGATGGAGAGAAAAAGAACCGGGGCTAACTAGCTACGAGCCAACAAAGAACTGACCTTGCCGCCGCCGTCGACGACCCAGGGGCGTGGAGGCGGCAACAAGCCTGGGCGCGGAAGAAGCCGGCACGGCCGTCGACGCAACCCCCACCTGCGCACCGAATCGAGAACCCATCAGCCGGACCGAGCAAGGCAAGAAAGCGCCCCTCGAGAAGGGGGAACGGAACCCTTACCCCGAAGGGGTTGGGCGAGGAGGATGAGGAGGCGGACGTCGATGGGACCGCCGCCCACGCCACGGCCGCCGCCGCCGCCGCCGTCTGCATGGCTGGAGAAGAGAAGCGCGGTGTGAATTGTTTGTTGCGCGCGGTTCTTGGGTGGAATCGTCCGGTGAAGATTCGGTGTGGGTGGAATCGTGGAGCCCGTCTTTGTGGCTGGAGGTAGGAGTAGGACGCGGGTGATTGGCGTGTCTGGCTTGCTCTGTTCTTCTCTTTCTTTTCCTTTTTTTCTCTGGGAAAAAATAGAAATTACTGTTAAGAAGCTTCGTTTCTGTTGGTATAATTCTTTTTTTTTTCTGTTTTACTATAGTATATATACTATCATTTTTTAGAAAAAAATGTGTTAGGTATTATTTTGTCAAGTTGAGTCAAAATTTGTGGTGTTCGGAAAAGCTGAGCGTGACAGCAATTCAGCAAACCGTAGTCATTCTTGATTGAGTTTGAGCCGCATCCTGTGGTTGGCGAGACTTGTCCGGGACTCCGGGTACTTGTCTATTTTTGACTTGGATAGTTCTAGCAAGCCCAGGATACATAGCGCTCCCCTCTTAGATTTACTTTTCTATTTTAAGAGAGCAAGAAAGAAGTGTTTATATTGTAAAGTTCATCAGGTTTTATATGAAAAACAATAATATTTAGGACCTCAAATAAGCATTACTAGATACACTATACTCTCACAATTCCTAAGTTACTAGACGTTTTAGCTTTTTTTTAATACATTGTTTTTGCTATATATCTAGACTAGCAAAAACAATGTATGTAGAAAAGCTAAAATATTTTATAATTTAAAATGAAGAGAGTAGTTTTTTCTTCGTATAATTTACTTCTTGACGTAGACACGTAGTAGATGTAGACAAGAGAGCTAGTGTCTATAAATTTTAAATGCAAGAATTTTGTAGAAATCAATTCAATTCAATTCAAGCAAGATCTAAGGACTTATTCCATTTTCAAAACCTTTTTCGCCCTAATAAGTACATCTCTATGAATTGAGCTAAAACTTTTTAAAAAAAAAGTATACTGGCAACAGGACCTTCTATTTATTAATCAACAAAGAAGGTAGTGAATTAAACTAGATTATAAGGATTATGTTACTTGTTTATTTGGTAACCGCAAGTTGTCAAGCTCACAGCCGGCCAGGGGTGAGGGCAACCTAGGAGTAGCTCGAAAGGCGCAGTTTTAAACTTGCGCCTTGTTTAGTTCGCCCGATTCGGCGACGTCGAATTTCCTGCTGCGCACTGTAGCGTTTCGTTTGTATTTGATAATAATTGTCCAAACATTGACTAATTAGGCTCAAAACGTTCGTCTCGCAAAGTACAATCAAACTGTGCAATTAGTTTTTTATTTCATCAACATTTACTACTCCATGCATCTACCATAAATTTATATGACAGAGAATCTTCTTTTTGCATAGTGTCAAATTCAGGAGTTTGGGGTACCTAAACAGCCCCTTGGGCCAAGCTGCCTCAAGTATCTCCATGTACGGCCTCTCGGCTAAGAGCCATCGTCACTGCCACGATAGGGCCAACCACTCTACTCCGTACACATACATGTCGTTTCAGTATCAACTCAGTCCTAGTGGTACTACCTCCTAACACACAGGTCTGGTCGGTGCAGTAGCTCACGGGGTGTCAGAGTGTCAGACATCCTTCTCGATGCAGGACGGCTCGTCGTCGACGGTGGCCACGGTCAGCTGGTCGTCCAGCGACGTCGCCGACGCCGTCCTCGACAGCGTGCACACTGTGTTCGTCTCGTGATCCGGCTCGTAGGTGGTGTCCAGGGAGCAGACGGATCTGGTCGTGAGGGTCCCGTGCCGGCTCCTGTCCTTGCCCTCTTGCACCAGCTGTGAAGCGACTCCCTCACGTTCTCCGAGACCAGTGATTTCTTGAACTTGGAACCCGTCTGCAAGTTCAGCCAAGGAACAAGAACGGCCAAGGACAAGTCAGCAGCAGTGGGTCAAGCTATCGTCCTATCGAGTATGTCGACATTGTTTCCAAAAAAAATGAAACAAGTTTTTTTTTCCTGGATATATACAAAGCTCAGTAGACGATTTTAAGTGGTTTTATACATGTTAAGATGCAATTAAAAGTTGCAAAATCAGGTGAGGAAATAGCAACACAGATGAAGGAACAATTCATCAGTAAGATAAGATGATATGGTAGTAGTACTAGTAGTACATAGTGCTGATGAAATCATGTGAAGAATTACTATAACAGTATCTCTTGGTCCAAATTAGGTTTGCACTTGAAGAGTACCTGAGAAATAATCACATTCAGCGGCAGTGTGCTGTAGCTGCACCAAAACTGAACTAGGAGCCTGCAATATTCAGAAGAGATTTTTTGTTCACCCTTTTTGTGTTAGTATTGAACCCAACCAATATATTTCAGGGAAGTTAACTTAGCACAAATTCCAAATCAGGTAGCTTATAATATAGATAATTGGAGTCCCAGTCCCAGTGACCTCAATAGGCTGGGACCAGGACATCCAGGTTACCTCGCTGCAGACGTGCAGCCGCTGGCCACCGAACATGCTCTTGTCGAGCGCCGTCTGGTTGGCGTCCGTGTTGCGCAGCAGGTCGTCGTAGTTGTTCTCGGAGCAGATGTAGAAGCGGCTGGTGAAGAGCGAGGACGGCACGCAGATCTCCGATATGAAGCGCGCCGTCTGGCTGGGCAGCAGCGAGATGACTCCAAGCAGCATCAGCTCTGTGGGCACAGGCATGGTTTCTCTTGCTGAGAGGCAATCAGTCGAACACCTTGCGAGCGGCGGCAGTGGCAGCAGAAACATTAACGTTTGAGGAGATCGGCATGCACAAGGTATTGCCCAAAACCCGCGGATCCTTGGAGACAATGTGGTAAACTTGTCTAAAACTAGCAGCATTGCAATGCAAGCAAATGTAGCACTAATCCTTACTCTAACTGTAATAGTCTGCTTCCATGAATATTCAGTTGCAGAGTGGCAGATATATATAGCCTCATACTAGTAGTAAGCAAATTAAATAAACAGACAACATCGCGGACAGAAATGCCATGCTGCTCCTGAGCTCCACAAATTGTGGAATGATACAGTAGTGGCATGTACGTACTAGCTAGAGTGGACTGGGACTGCTACCTAGTCCAGCAATTCAGGAGTCAGCACAAGAGCGCGTTCAGATTAGCTTCCGGAACGGGCGATAAAGCAGGCGAGGACGGACGAAGGAGCGAGACGGCGAGGGAGGGAACGTGCATACCTTCACGGATCTTCTCGAGCGCGGCGAGCATGGCCTTCCGCTTGGTCTTGCGCAGCCACTGCGGTGCGGAGCGAACAACAAACAAGCCAGCAGGGTCAGCAGCAAAGCAAAGCAAAGCAGTAGTGAGGCGAGAAGATGCATGGCCCGTGTCAGCACCTTGGCGAAGCGCGAGAGGGATCGCTCGACGAGGAAGCAGGCGGCGACCATGAGCGTGGTGACGGTGGCCACGGACCAGGTGGGCGTCTCCGCCAGCGACCGCCCCTTCTCCGCCGCCATCCCCTCGCTCAGCCCGCCACCAGATCACGCGGCTGTCGGCTCCCCGCCACCTTCAGTTCCTGCTCTGCTCCGACTCTGAGAGCTTCTGTTGTGGATTTGCGCGATGGGAAGGGATTATTGGGATTTGGAAGCGGCGAGGATGAAAGAGGAGAGGAGGTGCTGAGGCCGGAGTAGTTAATGCGGACCGAGGAGGCGGAGGGGAGGGGGAGGGGGAGGGAGGTGGGTGGCAGGAGGATGCGGATGCGGTCGGCGCGGGATCCATCGGCACCGGAGCAGCAGCAGCACGGCAGGAGAGCATTCAAGCATCAGAAGCATCGGGGAGGGAGTTTGGGCAGCTAGCAGAGAGCAGCAGCAACGGCACATGGGGCGCGGGCACGGCCCGACCGCACGAGCACGAGGCGAGGCGGTAGCTAGTTGCCCACCCATGGTGATGGTCCATGGAGCCGCAATCCGCAGCCCAAGCCCACGTGCTCTTGTTTCTTCTCGCCGTGCCAAACAGAGAGAGATGAACCTTCGGGAACGAGATCGTCGGACTTCACGTGAAAAGACTGCGTTCTGCAGACAGGACGAGGGGACTCAAATATGGCAAAGTTTTCTTTACAAAAACACAAAATATGGTAAAGTTTGGTTATTATAAAAAATATATGGTGTAGTTGATCTCGTTATTTTTTTTCCTTTAATCTTATACTCTTATACATATATACTCCTCTATATATCCAAAAAAGATAGCATTCTATTTTCCCAAAAAGTCAAACAATTTAAACTTTAACCACCTTTGTACGACCGGTCTATGTGAAGATTTCACATAAATTTCATCTGTATCTAATAGACAATACACCTAGGCATCTTATATGGCATGACAACGTTTTTAAGAAGGGTGAAGAAGTGATAATATCGACCCTTTGAGCATGATTGCTGACTCTCTATGAGTCATAATTTTAACTGTCCACAAAATCATAGAATAAAATGTTCTATTAAAAATAGGTGTTTCATCCATGTTTTATTTTTGTTCTATATGTACCGACCCTTTGAGCATAATTGCTGACTCTCTATGAGTCATAATTTTAACTGTCCACAAAATCATAGAATAAAAATGTTCTATTAAAAATAGGTGTTTCATCCATGTTTTATTTTTGTTCTATATGACATAGCAGTCCTGAAAATAATGCCGTGAAACTCCTCACCAAGACTAGCCAAAAAGATACTAACACTTTTATATCGAATAAGTCTCCAAGAAGAATATAATTCGCACCTCCTAAATGGTCAAACAATTATAAACGATCTCTATAAAAAATACTAACACTTTTTATTTGAAATATATGCCATTAGATTGATATTGAAATATATTTTTACAGTAAACCTATTTGAGATGTAAATATTATATATTCAATTTTATGAAATAAATCAAATTGAGAAAGTTGAACTAATCTCGAATTTAGAATCGTATTCTTTTGTGTTAAAAAATAACTTTTAGCTTTTCTTAATAGTTAATACATTGCTTTTGTTATTATGTATCTAAGCATATAGCATATCTAAATGCATAGCAAAAATAATATATCTAAAAATAACAAAACGTTTTATCATTTGAGATGAAAAGAGTATTAAATAAATATTATTAAATTAACATAAAATATATTTTTATAGTAGATCTATTTGAGATATGAACGTTGATATTTTTCTTATAAAATACATAAAATTGTGGAAGTTTGACTAGTCACAGAATATAGAATTGCATGCATTCTCTTTGGGTACCGAGGGAGAACCACTTTCTGTGTACCTCGGGGGTATGCAATGGTGGGAGTGGGACACAGCAACCCACACTGATCGCCAAACTTGAATTGAGACCCTGGATGCCGTGACAAAAATATTACAATTTACAAGTAAACATACATACAGAATATCGTATACACACAACACGAGTGCATCGACAGCTCCCCGCACTGAGACGGACAAAGGAAACAGAGCGAGCGCGCATGGCAACAAGAAGCCCACGCGAGAAGGAAACAGAGTAGTCACGCACGCTACGCAGACGATGGGCTATGTATGCCGGCCGGTCCGTCGTCAGTAGGAGCAGCGGACGCAGGAGAGCACCCGCGCGGCGCGCGAGAGCAGCCCCGGCTTCTTCCCCCGGGTCCGGGTCCGGGTCCGGCGCGGCCCGACCATCGACGACGACTTCTTCTTGCTCCCGCGGCGGCGCGACCAAGACCGGGGGGTCGACGAGCCCCGCGCCCGCTTCTTCGTCGTCGGCCACAGGGATCGGTTGTGACAACTGACAAGTCGTAACTCCCCCCGCGAGGCCTCCTAAGAACCATGGCGACCTGGCCGGTTGGCCGGCCGGCCGCGTGTGCCCTCGCGCCACGCGTACGACGTCCTCAGGCTCAGGGGATAGATGCTGCTATCCGTGCGTGGCTGGGCGGTGCACGTGTGCCGCGCGCGCGTCGTCATCGATCCGTGCGTGGCTGGCCCAATCAATCATGCATGTTGATCCACTCTGTCCTTCGAGATCGATCCTTCCAGATCGATAATCCAAAGCCAAAATCCATGCTAATCCATCGATGTGTCGTACTGTGCCCCGCAACGCCCCCCCGGCCCCACACCCCGACACGTGTGCACTTGTGGACCACGGCGGCATTAGTGTACTTTTTCCAGCTTTTTTTTGAACCTAATTAACTGGGGACCTTTTCTTTTTGAAACGGCAGGTATTTCAAAACGAAGGGGTCTAAGTATTTTACAGGCCGGCTGAAAAAAAAACTCGGTTATGTTGGGTCGAAAATGTCCCACCTATAACTATTTCACTAGACAGATTGGGTCTAATTTTTCAGGCCAGGCTCAAGCCAGGTCTTGGCCTAGACAGGCCCGCGCAGTGTAAAATAGAAAAAAATCGGTCGCTCGAGCCGGACTCGGTCCAAGAAAATTATTCTGCATAGCAGGATATGTGTCCTGGCCCTATTTAGTAAGGTTTGTGGACGACCTAAATCCCATCGAGCTTAGACCGGGCCCATAGGCCGGGTCGTGTCTAAAAACACAAACAAGCACACTCTGTACGAAAAGAAAATAAAATACTACCCTCGTTCAAAAAAATACAATTCTAACAGTGTTACATTTTAGTAACTAATAAATTTAACTAATTATAGATAAAAAATATCCATGATACCAAATAAATATCATCAGATTAATTACGAAATATATTTTTATATTAAATTAATTTAAAAATATAACTATAAATATTATTCACTAGAAATCTTTGATCTGTGAACTATTTTTTTTGACACGTAACTTATAGTTATAGTTGCATTCTTTTGAGGTTATACGGGTCATTGGAAGATTGAGATCGAAGTCGGAGGTATTTATATTTTGCGGAATATATAAGGCACGAGTTTAGATGTGCATATAGTAGCGGAGTACAATTGCACGTACGGTAGCAACAAACTAAAATGAAAATACATATATACGTATATATATAAACGAGCAGTCACTACGATACACAAACACTCATCACAAACAAGCTTGCTTGCATTGCATGGATCGATCCGCCGGCACCTGTCAGCAGCGCGCTCTCTCTCTCTCTGCGCGCACCCGCCAACCAAATGTTGCAACAAGCTGTCGATCGACATCGATCGGTCAGTAGTGGGGGCGGCGCGTGCAGGTGAGCGTCCGCACCAGGCGCCGCCACAGCGCCCCCAGCGAGGTGCCCCGCCGCCGCGCCGGCCCCCCTGCCGCCCTCTTCTTCCTCCGCCACGGCGTCAGCGACATCAGCGACGGCATGCTGCTGGCCTCCCGCGTTACTGTACGTGGACTATATATGATCTGCGCGCGGCGGTCGAACTTGAAATTGATTGGCCGGTGTGATTACAACACTGAAGATATAGATCGATCGTCGGATCTGATGGAGATGACTGTGACTTAGGTCTGTGCTGTGCGTGCATTGCAGATGGAGGCTTCCTTTTAAACCTCGCGCCGGCCGGCACCCTCGCCACGTGCTCGTGATTCCGCCGCGCCACGCGGTGGGCGCGGGCGGGCCGGGCTGCCGGCTCGCCGACGCGTGTGCACGCGTGGACGACCATTAGAGGCCAACCATGCCCGGCCCGTCGATCTTGCGTTCTTGCATGCCTCGTCATATGACCCCCGCCCGGACGCTTCCAGAACCGAGTGAACTCATGCCCCGTTGCGCCTCCGATCCGTGCATGCATGTGCTGTGTCTGATGAAGCCCGGTGCGCACATCCAAAAACTCTTTCCATGCCAAAAAACAAATACAACTATACATCAGTCAAACTAATTTGAGTGACTAAGATTATATAATAAATAATATTAAAATTTATGTCAACAACTAAACTTATAAAAATATATATATTCTATAACAAATTTAATGATATTTATTTTGTATCATACGAGTAATTATTAACATTTTTTATAACAAAAGTCAGACGCCGAGCTTTCGAATCCGACTAAAACAAAGAAAATTAAGGGCAGTTTTTTATATTTCTGAAAATTGCTCAGCTATATACTATAACTTGTTACCCGTGATAGATATATCGAATAACTTAACAGCTTCTCGCTCAAATCTCACTTTCTAAATTATTATTTGAAGAGTCATTTACATAAAAATTATTTTCTATATCTTTTCACTCTCCAACAATTTTTCTATATTTCATGTGTACTCTAGATAGTTATTCTTGTCTACTATTTTTGGCTAGCGAAAAATCTAGAATAGAAGGTGGCTATATTTGAATGACCATTTAGAGAAGCTATTGAATGATAGTTTTTCGTCAAAATCTCTATTCATAGTACTAACCCAATCATCATGTGACGTTTACTCTCTCGTGCTACGAGCCTACAACCTTCTCTACTTGTTTAGTGTGTTTTTGTCCCTGCGCGGCACCACTAACGGTATCTGAGGTTTGTAGTTTTTACTCATCCGTCTCAAAATAAGTCTACCTCTCGCATTTCAAAGAGTCAACCAATCTCAGCTTTATTTAGGTTTAAAGAGAAATAGTATCTA